AGTTTCAATTACCACTTCCCAGTCCAGTTCGGTGGTTGGACTCTCACCTCCACCCATCGAGTTCCATCCATTCACCGGTCTCAGGTGCGATCAAGTTGAAGGAAAGAAACCCAACACGGCCCATGGGATTGGCATAGATACCTACATGTTTGGCGCACTGTGAGACCAATGTAGGCACTGACTGGGGCCAATATAGGCTCTGTATCTGTATATATACATATATACATTCCTGTCCCATGGAGTATTCGGGTATATGGTTTAGAGATGTTTAGAGCATCCACAGCGGCATGATGCGGCATGCCTGGAGCTGTGGCCCTGAAGGTCTGAGCCTAGTGATTGATGAATACAACACATGAATAAACAACTCCCACAGATATATATATATATATATATACATAATCCATCATAATCCCATAAGAAGATCTTAAACCATTCTGGAAGGGGAGGCTTTGATTCATCAACCTGCATTGGGGCACGCTCAGCGTCATCGTCCGGTGTGCGGAACAAGCCTCGGTCGCCGTCTCGTTCCATCGGGCAGCTGCACCAGTCTCCCAAACACGGCCAGAAACAAAGAGCAACGACTCCACGACCAGCGGTCGTGGGTCCAGCAAGGTTCCCCATACTGCCCGACATATCTAAACACCCATGCCAAGCGTGAACAAGTTCTTCAAGAACGATAATGTAGACTCTTGATTAATAGACCCTTCCATTTGAAGTGGAAGTCCTCTTTGTAAGTATGGAGATGTATGGGGGGGTTATCAATCAAGAGTCTACATTATGTGTCCCTTGTTATTCTTGCTATCCTTGCTCTGGGCCGAACAAAGACTTCCCCAAAAAGGCTGGTGTTGGACAGCTGAACGGGGCGAAACGTGGACACCTCCCCGCGGGATCCAGAAATTCCGTCCTTTTCGCGGTCCTTTACTGAGCCGAAAGGTCAGAAGCTCCATACCTCCAGAGATTGAACTGTTGAGTTGTTGGATTGTTTGATGATATTTTTGGTGTAGCGATGGAACCACTGAGGAATCTTGCCGCAAAGAAGCCTAATGCATGTTGACCAACAGCTCCTACCTTCAACCAGCTGGTCTTCACAAGCCGGAGCACAATCCAAGTGAACGTAGGTACCGCATTGTGCCAGCGTCTGCGTTTCCCAGCTTGCTATCGTCGACGAATCATCGAGGTGTCGAGACTTCCTCCAAAAGTGCCCGTTGGACGACTACTTTCCTCGTCTACCATCCTCTACCAACAGGGGGCTTTCCACAAAGTGATGATGTTTCCCTTTCTACTCACTAGATAATTGTTGATCTACAAGCATGATTCTTGCACTTCCATCTTGGTGAGAGTCATCTGCAGCACTTGCAGCTACCAACGCCAGCGTCTGCGGTGCCGCCTAGTGATAGACCCTGAACATCACATTTGTCTTGGGGACATCTTTTGCGTTGAACGCCGCATACATGGGTCAGTGTCAGGTACCATATCCCTATTGGTTGTATATGGGTCTCCCCTCTATTAACCAACCAGCCAAAAGCAACATACTAATTACACCATATTACATCCACCTTCTTGCTCAAGCTCAATGTAAGACCGTCTTCCTTACACAAACCATCCATGTATGGCATATTTGCCTACATTGAGGCGGTTTCAGGGGTCAATGTAGGCAAATATGCCAGTCCCATGGATGGTCTCTGGGTTTTAAAAAAAGCAAAGAGCTTCAACCTCCGAACCCCTTCCTCTCCGGGTCCGGTCGGCCCTCGCCCTCCACTCGGTCATCCCAAGGGGCTCACGATGCAGAGGTCCCCAGTGGTTTCGAAGTCCAAGCCCAGGTCACCGGGCAAAACGTCCATCTCCACCTCAAGCTTCATGGCATCGACCAGAAACGGTCGCAGTCGTGCATTACGGTAAGGCAGTAAGGCAGGAAGGCACAGGAAGCCGGCTAGCCTATTGTTTCGACCCCTTTTCGGACCGTTCGCAGGAGCCCATGGGCTTGTGACCTGATGGAACCAGCACGGCTCGTTAGGTCCAAACGGTTGCGTCCTGTGGTTGGGCTTTTCTCCCTAACCAAGTGCCATGGTATGCCATGGTCATCGTCTATCCTGTATGGAAGTGGGGTGGGCTCCGCGAGGGTCCAGTCATACCGAGGGGAGTATAAGGATATATAGTGGACAGCTAGCACTTAGAATACGACCAAAAGGACTTTTTGATTTGGCCCATATGTCCCAAGGTCACTTGTCCATATTTGTCCGCGGACGCGCAGATAGAATTTCCACACATCCACATAGAATGTGCGCACCACACTTAGAATATATGCGGCGTGTGCCAATCCAATCACACTTGCCTCAAGGGAGATGTGCAACGGTAAAGAATTAGAGGAACCAGTAAATATGCATGAGCCTTCATCTCCGGCGTCTTTGGGTGGGAAAAGATGCTGAGGTATGTGTGGTCGGTTATTGCACTTTAGAATGTATATTCTAACCGTGCTGTCGTTCATGAAAATGCCATATTCTAACTGCAACCAAATGCTCCGGCCATATTCTAAGTGCCGTCAGTGCACTATATGTATATATATATATAATTGTCTTAATAACTGAGGGCAAGCCGCCACATACCTCGAGGCCTCCGCTTTCATCGCGTCCTTCGCCTTCAGCGACGCCGGCGTCCGCGGGGACGTGGGCGTCTCCGCCGACTTGGCGTCTCCGCCGTGGGCGGCCGCCGACTTCGCCGGCGAAGGAATGGGATCGAGACCGCCCTCCTGGGAGATGGCGCTGGGAGGAGGGAGGACATATCTGGATTTCTTGGAATGGAACATGACTCAAGCCATGCAATGGACTGAGAAAAAGGAACGCAGTCAGGAAGTGACATCAGAAGTGATTGAATCAAATCATTGAAACATGAACTCATCAAAGGCCAATGAAACAAGCAATAGTTGTTGTAAAGCCACGCAAACGCAACCCGTGAAATCATGGGGACATCCTGAAGCCTTGCAGTCATACTCGCAATCCTTAAATGTCACACCAGGCTTCCAGTTCGGCCAAAAGTCATTGTGAACTTGTTCACTTCCCCAACGGATCTCTCATGTCCGAACCCCTGTGACACCCAAACGCTATGGAAATACAGGCCAATCGGCCCGCTAAACAACCCCAACGGGTTGGCAAAATATGGCAGGTTCCCGGTCGTGCTTTGGGCACAAAAAGTGCTGCTCACGGAAGAAAATCCGTAGTGCGTTGGACAGTGAGAGCCTCCAGGATTCACCGCAGGATTCCGTTTGCCGCCGGACATTCCTTCACATTCCTTCCATCAACCATAGGGTTGAACCTCGCAACCAGACTCCAAACCTGGGCAAAACTGATGTAACATAAAGCGTTGGGACAATCCAGCATGAACGTGGGGTCCTCCTCTGCGAAGACGTGGAAGTGCACCGGCTGGTAGGCGGAAGAATCAGCGACGGCAACGGCTGGCTTCACCGCTTTGGTTGCGGCCACGACCTCCTGGTGATGCGCTTGTTGATGGGAGGTTGCCAGCTGGAACTTGTGCGAATTCATCAAAGAATGAACCAACCCAAACATGCCAAGCAACCCGTTTGGGGCATGAATTTAAAATGATTGCTTTCTGATCAACGGCTTCAACGGCTGTTCACGTGTGTCGAATATATGGGCGGCCTCTAAGTCACTAGATGGGACTCAAAAAGGAAGCTGCCACACGAGTATGCAACCTCTAAACCTCACTTCCTGATGCACATGGTGGCTTATGTGGCTTGAGGGAAAAAGCTAAAACACCTGCATGTATACTTGATGGTCGATGTCAACCCAGCGGAGAAATTATACAAATGATACCACGGAGCTGTAATGTGGCTTCTTGGTTGAAACCCAAAACCAATTTCCAACCTATGAGCAACATGTTCACCGATCAGGTCTTGAAAGTCGACAACTTGTGACGATCTTCATCTGGAAAATGCGTGGGTCACATGTTGGATGCCTGGGGTCCCAGAATCATAGAGCTATGACACCAAACCACGCAGTTGTACGACAAAAGTGGTTTCGTTCTGTCTTCTGTTGCTGTGGTCATGATCTATTTCAACTAGGGATCCACATACCTTCTCAGAAGGTACTTGGGCCCTCCAAGCCTACATAAATAGTCTCCAATCACCTTCTGAGAAGGTACTTGGAACCCTAGGGCAAGATAGAGCCCTTGATGACTTGGCCATCTCGGACTCCCTCCTGTGCAGGAGGCTCCGTGTGGTCCTCACATCCGCAGCACAATGGAAACATGGCCCATGCGAAGGTCTGCCCAACGAAGCAAAAGACTAAGCAATCATAGAAAACAAACGCAACTGCACGTATGAACCTATTGTGTCAACCTAAACGAATCTACATTGAGTCTATCATTGACAAAGTCTTTGTTGGTCTAAACTGATTGTAATTGATTTTATATGTGTCACATGTGTTTGTTTTTCTATGATCATACTGCCTGATTGTTGATTCTCACGAGGACATTTTGTTTGGGCGTGTTAAGCCGGAAGATGAAGAGCTGTTAAGCCGGAAAATGGTGCATCAAGCAGCCAACGTCATGACAGCCGCAGGAAGAATAAAAGAAACCATGCTCCCCGGAAAGCGTAAGACCAATATAACCAAAGTGATGCACTGACCGGATTTGATGAGATGCAAACACCTCAGATCGGCAGCTTTCAGACTCCAGTCAATGGCAACAAAAAAACAATAACAATAATATAATATAACAACAACTTTCCCTACAGGTCACTTTGGCCACATTTTACTGGAGTTGATCACACATGATCACACCATGTAAAATGAGGTAAAAACATGTAGAAACAAAGGGGGATGTAACGGGTGTTGTTGCTGTAATAAGATCCCTTTACATACCTTATCACACCAAAACACCATGTAAAAATGATGTAAATCAAGAGAAGTCAAGGGATGCCGGTTCGGACCTGGGTCAAACGGTCAGACCTGGCCTTCTTCGACCCAGGGCCCTGCCGGGGCCCGCGCTCGGCCCAGGAACGTGGCACACCCATGGTCAAAGGGTCAAAGGTACCTGGCAGCTACACGACGACAGCTACGGGGCAAACGGTTTGTTGGAAACATGACAGCTACTGTTTAGTTCACTTTAAGTCCATACTGCATATTTGCAATGTATATTATATATATACAGTATATATATAATTATATATGTATACAGTATGTATACCGTACACCATTTCTTTTTTGGGGGGGTTACATGCGTAAAAAGAACACTTTCACCATCTTTCACCCTACTGGGAAGCTCAAAGCATCTGTTACTTTAGGTCCCCTTGCAAAAGATTGCACTCCAACTTGGCCAAGGAACGTGGCTTGGTGCCTGGAGAGATCTTGAAAGACTCAAAGCTTGGATATCTCAACATCTCTTATTGGGTATCTCCCATTCCCTTGGCCCAGTGGATGATGGCTGGGTTGCAGGCCGACATCTTACAGCTATGCGGCGTTTGGCCCGGTCGCGAGCAGTCACACAGAGGCTCCGGCCGTCGGGCCGCTCAAAGGTGGGCAAGTTCTCGGAGGCATTGTATCCCTGGAGAGAATGGGGCAGAGTGGGGCGTGGACGATTGGACGAGTCCGTTCGAAGATGGGTGGAACTGATGTGGATGACATGAATGACTTGAATGTCGTAAAGCAAAGGACTGGGACAAAGGGTATGATGACGAAGAACTAGCTAGTCTGCTGAAATCAAGCGGGGAAGCATGAGACAAAAGGGGTGTGATTGCTGGTCGAGCCCGTGCAATGTCATGCTCAGCTTTGGCCCAACTTCATGAAGTTGCTTGATGAATTGATTTATATAACATGCACGTTTGCCATGCACATGTACCTTTCCATCATGGGCCCCATAGGGGGTACTTCCTCAGTTTAGCTACTCAATACATATGGAGGTCCACCTTCTGAAAACAACGTACTGTGTGGGCTTCAAAACATGTCCTCGTAAAGTTGGATTTGTCCTGCGGGCTAACAACAGGACTCATCGTTGACGTACATCGCTACAAAAACAAGAAATGAGCAACCTTGCAAGGTCTGAATCTGTTTCGACAACACAAGGAAACTGTGAGAGTGACACAACCACCAGCACTACCAGCCACCACCTACCTTGTCGAAACGATCCAACGAGCGCACTGTCTCCCTAATTACCTAATTGCTTTCCGTTTCTCAGAGTTTCTGCTTCGAGTGGCAGCGATGGCGAGATGCATCAATACCAGGGCCCCCGGGCCATGGCGTATCAAGTAAGAGCCCCAAAAAGAGGGGCCATGGCGTGTCCATTCACCACCTGTTTGGGTGTCCATGAGCCACATATCAATACCCTTGGCGAGAACAACGTGTTTTTGCGGAGTCATGATGCCTCATGCCAGACGCTCCATGGGACTGCCATATATGCCTACATTGGGGTGGTTTGGGGGGTCAATGTAGGCAGTCCCATGGAGTGTATGGGCATCTTCTCTCTGGCTGTGCACCGGAGGAAGTCGTGGGCGTGTTGGTGCTGCCGAAGCAGCAGCTTGCACACGAGAAGCAGCATGTTTGGCCGCCAATGTCTCGGACCACTTGATTAAAATTGATTAACCAGGACCCTCCAAGGGGTGCCCCATGGAACCCTATAGGTAGTGTGGGGTAGTTCATTGGACACCCCTTGGAGGGTCCTGGAAACTGACGTTTCATGTAGGAATTCTAAGAGAAGAAACATGCTCTCTCTGATCAGAATTTGCAGAAAGAGCTGAATCTTGTATGGTTCTGGACTGTTTGGCGTGTTTGCGTCATGAGTATCTTGTGTCATGTGACATCATGTGTCTAAACTGTCTCCCACAAAGGACCTCCATTTCTGTCTCCCCGTCTGGCTCGCGTATGGCGCCTTGATGTTCCCAGGGTTCTCGCGCTGAGCCAGGGTTACAATGAGGGAGGCCGCCAAGCGCTGCTCATAAACAGCCATGTTGTAGCGGAACTTGGCATTCCTGGATCCCAATGGCTGGAAACCCAACCGAAACTCAAGGGACCAAGCATTCTCCCGCTGAACTCTACCGGCCCTGGAAGCTGGTGACATATCCATCATATCCATGGATCTCGCAGCCAGCGCCGGCTCAAGTGCCCGAACTGAACTCCCACCAGGTTTTTCATCGTCTTCCCAAGCGAGTGAGAGATGCGTCTGTTCTTGCCCAAATCCAAAAGCGATGTCGTCGTCACCATGATTTCCATGCTTCAAGGATTGTTGTTGAGCCACTGGCACGGATCTGAGGGTTTCCGTACTCAAACGCATGCTTGACACAATATAGACTAATAGACTGATGCCAACCCGACTGTCTGTCTGTGCAGTACAGTCTTGCAGTATGTGCAGTACCCGTTTTTCACCCCTCGACGCTACTCACAGGACACTTGTCTGTCAGGTCTGTGGGTTAAGTCGTTGAAACTTGTCACAAACCTCTAAGAAGACCTGCGGTCTGCGAGACCGCAGTCCAGTCGTTCCAACGACGACTTGAGCGACACAGTGGAACGCTCTCATCTGAGTTGAGTGACTCTGGCTGGATGAAGGGGAAGAAGGATGCGTAGCCAAGCCGCTCCTACCGGGACGCTCGTCCGGATTGAAGCCGCGACCGTGGAATGTTTAGGAATCGGTTCAAGGTCCCTTTGGGAGCATTAGAGGGGTCAGTGCCAGGTACTGACTACTGATACTTGTACCAAGGAGAAAACACTCCCCTTGATCTATATTACAGTGGTTTCAGAGTAGATGGGCACAAAGCCTAAGATGTCTTCTATATGGGGGAGGTCCATATAAACCACCTAACTTGGATTGTGCCATCGAACCTCTGTTTCACACCACCGAACCTTGCACCAACGAACAGCAAAAGGCTCGGCTCACAATCGGTCCTGCAGTCTCACCACATCTTCCTGCTTCTCAAAACGAACTCGGAAGACCTTGGCGTTGTACTTGTCCACGACCCTGGCCGGCGCGGAGAGGTGCAGTGTATTGTACGACATGGAGTCATACACTGACTCGTATCCCCCAAAACGCCACTGGCTGGCTGCACGTGCACTATCGTGTACTACGGGAAACGGCGGAGGACGACTGGTTCGCTCTCCTGGGCCAGAAGAACACCAAGGCATCTTCGCGGTCCAAGTCGTTCCGAAAGAAGCCCACCATCTGACGGATGTGCAGGGAACCTGAGGCCCGACATCGCTCCGGTAGGTCGCGGCGGCCCCGAGTGTGTGTGTGCATGCGCACGTTCTCTTTGCCCTGCCACCCCCCCAAAAACAAAGGAAGAAAGGAGTGGCAAACTGGGCAAACCGGTGGGGTTCTTGGGCTGATGGATCTAAATTCGTCCAAAGACTCCCTATTCATAGGCATCATTTGGGGTTGCAAAGCCCTTCTTTATCTCAAATGGTCTCAATTTCAATGGTAGTATTTTTACAATATCCCCGGACCTTGCGCAGGGTTGCCCCAAAGCCCGTCAGGATATTCGCGATAAACCCTCCATCGCTTGTAATGATATGAACATATATGAAGCATATGGCATGGATTTAGTGGGCTACTCTGCAAGTTTTTGAAGCTGAGCTGACCTCATCTGAAGGCTTTCAGAACACGGCCTCCGTGGGTCCACCTGGATGAACCTGTGTGTCACAAACTCTCTCATGTCGATTCCCTAACTGGGAAGCCCCAAAATGACCCTTCCTGTAACAGTGGATGATGATGGCTAGGTTGCCTTTCTAAAAAGTGGTCACCATTTCTTTTTTTTTTAATGAATTCATCGTTAGCACATGGCTACGTTACCATTCATTTTATCAAAATGATCAACTGTTACATCTTTAAAAGTAATGTAGACTCTTGATTAATAACCTCCCCCGATGGAATTGAACAACCTTCAAGAGTCTACAGGTAAACCTGGGACACATCCAACCAATCTGAGCTGCACGCCCAACCAAGGGTCCTTCAACTCGCTCAAACGCATTTTTTTTGTCAGCCAAAGGTGACTTTCAGGCAACATGTGTGAGATGTTGAAGCCTCAAAAAGACCATCTGATTTGTGAAATGTCATCCCAGCGAACAACGGATTTTTGACCACCTGCACTCCGTACTTCTCAAAGCCGACAACGGTGCCCAACCCTCCCTCCCTGAGTAACAGCAATCCAATTGGCCTAGGCAAGGTTTCGCCACAAACAACACAAACCCAAACGAACATCCTTTCAAGCAACTCACTTCATGGCTGAACACACACCTACCACTGGGCGAGTTTGGAGATGAGCTGCCAACAACTGCCGTTCAGATTTGCAGCCCTGAAACTCAAAAAAATCTGATGAGAAATCGTCTTCAGGACTTTCAGCCGATCTTGCGGTTCACACGGTGAGTCGTACATGCACATCATCAGCTCCTGGATCCGAGTCCAAGGATTTGCTTGAACCCACATTTTCAAGTACACCCCCCCAGAAAAAAGAGAGTGTGTCCAAACAGAAGTGGGGATCAAACGGTGCTTGATGTCCAGGATCTTTCTGGTCATTTGATGGTTTCAAGGCCGTTACAACATGGCAAGGTACCCTCAAGCATTGGAACCCATGAGGACGCAGGTGTCTCACAGTCGTATTGGAGTGAGATGTCGGAGGCCTCTTGCCCTGCAGCAGTTTTGGGAGGTCCCTTGTCAAACGGCCCCTTGCTAAGAAGATGCATCCGGATAAGGATAGTTAGTTATACTCCCTGAAATCATCATGGGAGTGGGAAATCACCTGTAAAGGAAACATGGTTTTCCAGCGCCAGTTTTCCACTTCCATGATTATTTCAGGAAAGGTAGTTAGCAGAAGGACTGCAGCCGGACCACTTCGCCTTTCCCGAAGCAACGTGCAAAACATGAAAGAACCAACGGGCTCTTTGAGCAGTCCCAAATCAACCACCATGCAGCGTCCCAGCATCAAGGCGCTGTGGGCACGCAAGCAATCACAAAGGAACACAACTTTGTTGCCATCACTGAGTCTCCTGACCTACTTCCTCCGACCCGGGCATAGCTTAGTATCATATGACATCCTTGTTATGGTTCCCCAATCACCCATATTATGTTCTCACTTGGGTGCCCACCAGTATACCCCGTGCTGCTTGCTGCCATGCTGCTTCCCAAAGGTCATCGCTCAAGGGTTTGGAACCCTTCTTGGGGTGGTTGCCTCGCGAAACATCCGAGCAGGTATGCACATGGAAAGGTGACCCCATGTTACAAGAAGGATGCTGATACACATGGATGTGCTGAACCAGGACATATATGATTATACAATGTATACATAACATATATCATATACTGTATATGCTAGCCCCCCCAAACCCACCTTGGCCCTGGATGCATTCATTGGAAGCATGGATGCGTATGTGTGCAGATTTAACAGAAGCACCAATTGAAGGTAGTGTTTTGATGAATGCCTTGAAACTTGCTTTGCATTGGAAACATGGGTGTGTGTGTGTGTGTACAGTCTTCTTCAACCATTAACAAAAACACACGTTGTCTTTTTAAAGATATATTTTGTTGGCGTTCAAAAACCCAAAAAAACACACCAACACAAGGAACACAAAAAAAAACATCTTTTGGTGCTGAACCAAAAAGTATCCTCAAAGTTTTGGTGTTTTGCTTTTTAAGTGTGTTTTGTTATTTTTGGTTTGTTAGTTTGTTGTTTTTTTTGTCATTGGGGATATATTTTTATGTTTTATGTGGTTCCTTTCATTTAGGTTTTTATTGTGAACTATTGTGTTTTTAATACACAAAAATATACCTAAAACACTACAAATATCAGAACACTTTATGACATGTTGATTTTTTGTATTTTCTCTGGGGGGTACCATATATATACATACAATATTATACAACCAAATGCACCTATATGTATAAACTAGTTGACCCGTGCTTCCGGAACGACAAGCCATGTTTTGGCTCCAATAATGGGTCACTCAGGTTCAAGGTTTACGCCAACCAACACATCCTTAACTTTGCCCAACTCTTCGGAGTTGACGACAAACATGGTGTGCGGCCGTTCCTTTACGACAAACATGTGAAAGTAGTGGGACTTCCAAATGGGAAGTGATGGCCTGGATAATTTGGAGATGACAAGTGCAAGAGTCGAAATGCTTCTCGAATCTGTTGGATGATCTTCTCAGGTGACGAAATGCATTAAATCATCAGCAGGCTGGTTGCGTAGAAGACTTGAAGGTAACAAGCAAAAAAAGGAAAACACGCACTTCCAGAAACACGTTCTTCCAGAAACATCATCTCGATCATGGAGAGAGAGAGAGAGAGTGTGGGTTCGCCCCCTCCAAGGAGCAGGAAAACACCCTCACCCAGTGGCGAGTTCTTCACTCACCCAGTGGCTGGTGACGTAGTCGCATTCGAACTCGCCAAACTCAGGGATCACCCACTCGGTGAGCATCTTCACCTCGCTCGTTCGCGTGGCTTTGTGCCGTGCACCAGAAGACTCAACAGGGGGTAACAGGGGGCGTGTGTGTGGTTGGTGTCTGGCTTGGTGGGTGAACGACTGGGCAAAGGTTAAACCAAGCCGGCTAGCTTTTGAATGCTTGTGAGCACTAATATAATTATTGCTGAAGAATAGCTGTTGCATCAGTATGGGCAGTGTACTCAAGCATGGAAACTTTTCCTGCTTTTTGACATGTCGCGCTTTTGGAGGGTATTGGGTGGTCAAGGTAAGGGCCATGTACATCAGCGACGTTGGACCTGTCTCTCAGGTAGAATCCCTCAGAACTGTCCAGCCCGGAGTGTTCTGGAGAGGTTCCCTAAGAAAAGTGTTCCAATACTATTTACGTTTGGTGAAGAGTACATCTATAAACGTGTTTACTCTATTTTTCTCGTTCCGGGCGCAGTCGTTTAATCGTTTTCCAGCCAGGCTGGAGTTCCGGAGTCGAGGAGTCCCCAATCCCAATGAGAAGGACAATGGAAGGACCATGGGTGGGACCATCCAAGATGGAATCCATCCAAATTGGGTTCAGTGGTGTTTCTTCCCATCCAACATGGAATGAAAACCCCTTCTGGAATGGTGTCACCACTTCTGGGAATTTCAGATGGATGGTTCTGTCTTGAGAAGTTCACTTCGGCCCAGAAACCGGTCTACTTCGTGTACCCGCCCAGGGGCCGATAAGTGTAAGGACCGCCCCATGTGGCACTCGTTCCGCAGCTGTGACTGGTTCCCTCGCTGGGACACCTGAGCGAAGCAGAAGCTAAGCTGCCAACTGCCAGGTTGTTCGTAAATGGTCCTTTCTTCCTATAGGGCTCCAAGTGGGAGGTGTAGGGTTCAGCATCCCAAGTGGTTTGGGCCGGGCATCCAGAGGCTTTGCCGCAGGCAGAGTATGGCAGAGTCTTAACGCATATTTATACACAGAAGCTCCAGGTATCTCAGTAGAGGAAGGGCTTGAGAACATGTCTCAACATAAGTCCGAAACGGTTGGGGACATGAATCTGTATGAGGCTTGTTTGGATTACAGCGCTTGGCTTGCTATCGGGCTTCCAACTCTCAGAAAGAATACATGATTTGTACAAATATGTATACACAATATATAAATAACAATATACAATACAATACAGCAAAAAAAAAATAATATGCTGCCAACCTTTTGTTTTATGAGGAAATCATACGGATAGCATCCGGAAACCTAATATCGCTTCCTCCAGCTCGCACCAGCTGCGAGCTGAAGACATCAACTGCTGGTGATGTCCCAAACACGACACATAGGACTGCCATAGGACTGCCAATCAATTGGGGTGGTGCCAGGGGGGTCGATTGATTGGCATATATGGCAGTCCCATGGATGGTCTGGGTGTGGATCGGTTGAAATTCCTCACCATGACTCACCCAAAGGACCCTGAGGACCAGTCTCCATCTCCAGGGTCCTCTGTCCTCGCCCAGTCACATCCTGTCGGCGATTGCGCTTGTTCACCACCGACTCCCATCGGTCCAACAGCAAGAGTTGCTGGGCCACAGCAAAATCGGTACTGTTCTCCTTAGGCGATCCATCGGGCGGAGGAAACGATCTTAGCATACCTTAACTACGTGTTTTTCTCTGCATGCAATCAGTGGATCAAGAACAAAAAATCACACGATTGAAGAAAACAGATCTAGTCAGATCCTACGGAGACAACCAAAGCACTGCCTAAACACTCTGCATTGCAAACTCCATGGCCCTTCTCCGTTCACCATCGAGATTTGTCTTCTCCGTTCTTTCGCTCGCCTCGTGAGACGTTTCAGAGAACATTGGGAATCACATCATCCAAACTTCCAAACCCAGATTAGCCTCATGAGTCATGAGAGCTGCAGATTAGCCTCGAGTTTCAGCTTGTAGTGGCCAGTGGGGTTCTGCGGGTTGAAGAGCATGTAGGCTTCCTCACATGTACGGAGTGACACAAGGCGGAGTGACACATGGTGCTAGTCAAAGGGGTTTTAGGCCCTGGGGATGGCCCTGTGGGTGTCAATCCAAAGAACATCACAAATATGCCACAGCCCAGCTCAGGGAGAGAACTTCCAAATTATCAAAATTCAGACTCTAGGGCCATCTATTCCAAAACCGATCTGCGAATATATATATATATATATGGGTGCCCATATATATACCCCTTACCACTCCATGTATGGCCCATTTACCTACATTCGGGTGGTTTCAGTGGTCGTAAATATGACAGTCCCATGGAGTGTTTGGGATGTACACCGCACAAAAGGAATTTGGGCGTTGTCCTTTTGCGGAATTGACTGATCATGCAATGCTAGCCTTCTCATTAGTTGTTTTTATCTTTGAGCATGCCGTACCTGTTGTGGGTACAGCCTAGCTCACTACCGTGATTGCGTTGCTGAATCCTGGTTGAAGATAGGAGTTCCTACATGTCGAACGCGAAACAGCATACTCACGCGGCCCAAGACAAGTATACTCAGCTCAAAGAAGATTGTGCTTGCCAAAAAACAATACAAAGCTACTTTGCAAGGTCCATGAATGAACAACGACCCATACCAAACCACCATGTAATTGTGTTTTTGTGTGCTCCACTGTGCAGTCTCCGCCGTTTTTGCATCGGGCACCGACCCTGCGGAGGGTGGCGTTCTCGCCCAAGGTTCCATCTCCCGCACGGTCACCAGAAAGTCCTCCATCTCGGGGAAAAGAGCCTGACATGGAATCGCCAGGCAGAGTTGCCGAATCGCGAGATCTTGCCCGAAACCACTGCTGCCAGCACAGGTTGAAGAGGAATAACATGGATAAAAAAGAACGGACAAACATATACAAACATAAGATTCCAAAGTTGGAATCGCTGATGTATATTATATTCTTTAATGTTGCAGTCCCACTGAGGTCCAAATGGCACAAAGACCTGGGAATATGATGGTGAACATTATGGGAACACCGCGAAGAAAGGGATACAGTGTCCTTTTTATTGGGAGAATCAGAAACGAAGTCTCGTCGAGCACCCAGGGCCGCCAGGATGCTCCTTACAGCAAACTGTGTGAAGCTGAAGCTGGGCTCCCTTCCTTCTGGGGGAAGGAATTGGTCATGAAACAGAATGTTGCCTGTCATGATTCCGAAGGAACATGTTGAAGAAGTGAAAGTGGAATGCTTCGGAATGTTCCAGCATTGCATGCAATATGTGATTGGTAACCTTCTGATGAGTATCTGCAACCCTTGAAATGAGTTAGTTGGACTCGTGTGCGGACTGCTACGGATCCCTCAACTCTCAGGGGGGTCGCGCCGATCAAACGATTGGCTAAGGAACTACTTCACCACTGTAATGCACAGCTCGTGAAATGAAGTGGAACCAAACGGGCTGCATTTGCTTGAAAAGCAACAATATGACGCATAAGAGTAGACATGATTATACATGTACACACCAATTGTCATGATAGTGGCTGGAGGTCTCTACTGTAGTTGAGAATGTGCCAAAAACATTGATTCGGGTCATAGGGTCTCTCCAGGCCTACCCAGGGCCTCTCCAGGCCCCAACATCCAAGCAGTTGCATCCAAGAAGCAGTGGCCAAATACATTGAAGAGCCATCTCTCTTGAGGCTTGGGATGAGGCGAAAAAGGGTCTGGGTGCCAGCTTCAGGGCAGGCCTCTCGAGGAAGAGAGATTGGCAGACATAGACTGGCCAGGACCAGGAGGCTCAGGCTTCTCAAAAATCCTCGATTCATGAGTTAACACTTGAGGCCGAGGGTAGGTGACGAAAGCTAGCAGGGGTGCATCCGGACTGGTGGGACATCAAGCGGAGTGAGGCAAATGCTCATGAGGTAAAACGTTGTGAACATGTAAGACACACAAACAGCAATGACACAGCCAACCTTAGAATTGAAGTCCCCGATAATTAAGGAAGCGTGGCTGGACTTTGCCACACTGTTCGATGCATCCGATGTGTTCACGAACCTGTGAGCTTGTTGAATCTGTTGCACCGTATCCCAAAACCTCCACGGAGGAGTTGAACCAGTGTGGATGCCATAAGAGGTGCCCAAGAGGTGTCCCAGAGGCAAAACAAAGCTGCTTGCATGATTTGTTTGGTTTCTTCTATCGATGTCGATGTCATGAACATGTGAGCTTGTTGAATCTGTTGCACCGTATCCCGGAGGAGTTAAGCCAAAGTGGATGCCATAAGAGATGCCCGAGAGGTGTCCCAGAGTTGAACCCACGGGGGGGGCCCCCCCCTACATATGAAGTTTTCACGTGATGCGGCGATCCCGAGGATTCCAGCCCCTCACTTGCTAAAGCAAGGACAACTCCAGCTAGCTGGTGCTAGCTTTCGTGATCAGCTACCAAAAAGGTCTAACTCATTGATGATGGGAAGTGATACATATGACATCATTGTCACTTATGCTTTCCAGCATCACACTCTTATGCCAAACCGTCCATCTGAGCATTCTGAGCCAAATCGCCACCAAAATAGAACACCAAGGAATGACGCAGTTTAGATCGGCGCGTTTCCTACCCAAAGGCATTTGCGAATTGATGTGTTCGGCCCCTATTTTTGGGGGATTTGATGTGTTCGGTCCGACACCCTTCCTCTGACGATCTTTGGAGCCTGGACCATGTACTCCAAGTAGGGCAGGATCATGTTGAAATCCTCAGATCTGATTCTTGAGCGAAGGAACATGACGAGTCGATTCCGCCGATCCTTGCCTTTTGCCCAAACAAATCCGAGAAACATAACAAAAGCCTCTTAGTAAATACCTAGGTATAACTTGGATCCCCTACTCAAGGTTCAACCATGTTTCACCAGCAACTCCTACACCCGGGGCTCCGGCGAACAACACCCAGCGAGCTCAACACCCGGCGAAACCGTTGCTTGGATCCCGAGAATCGGATGCCAAAGCTGTCAGGAAGGTCTCTTGTTCCATGGGCATGCCACTGATGGCTTTCCAATTGGCAAGCAAGGGTCTCATCCTCAGTCGTGGGCGATGGGTCTCGGAGAAAAGCAAAGGCTGAGGCAAAGAAATCCACTGCACCAGGAGTCACAAAGGGGCGGTGTTTAGTCTCTAAGTGAGTGGATAATGGGCACCCCTAATCTCCATTAAGCATCATTAAGCGCCCTTTGCGACTGCTGGCACATGTCTCTTGAAACTTCGGGGGTTCTGTCAAGATATGCACGAATGATGCTCTTTCCGTATCCAACGCAAAGTGGCACAAACGTCTTTGTGCAAGGTTCGGGAAATAGACCAAGTCTACCAGCCTACCTAGTGGCACGATCGAGAGTCTCCCTATGTATGCATGCGCAAGCGAAAAGAGTGATTGTGGATCACTCTGCATGGAGCGATGAATTCCTTGCCAAGGCTCTTGATTCGATGAGGTGTGAAGCGCATGAGTTCCAGGTGGGCATTCAGGAAAGTAATGAAATCATCATCCGCAATCTCCTCATGAGTAAGTCGAGCCCACCGCCAACCTCTTTCAAAATATGAATAAGGGGAATAAGAGAAGCTTTAAAATTTTTAAGGAAACGCATCATGTCGAAAAGGTGCCCGAAACGATCATACAGTAGGTCACCCCCGGTGCTGCTGAACCCACTGCATTTGAATGTCCACGTTGCACATCACATGTTCTCCAGCTCGGCATCCGGTCGACATCTGGGGCCAATACTACATGGGTAGACCCCCTGGCCCTGGGGTAGACTGGTGGTCTATCCCAAACCTTCCAAACGAGGGTCGAAACGAGGTCTCTGACAGTGGATTGGCATGGACCTGGAAGATGCTTTTCCTCCACAACCCTGTGGTTTGTTTTTCATGTTTTTCCAGGTTCCATGTGGGTCATGTTGATGTTTCCCAGGTGTAATGCACACCCGGGCAGCCTGCTTTAGCCTAGTAGCTTCTTGTTACTAGTAGTAAGAATGCTCCTAGCAGTACGGCCAGGAGCCCCTAGTAGCGTCCTCGCTCCTAGTAGCGATGCCAGGAGCCCCTAGTAGCTTCTTGTTGCTATGTGCACATGAAGTTCCTACGGACTCACCAAGTCTCGCTCCACTTGGCGGCAATGGCCGACTCCACGTTGAAGGTGAAGGTCAGGATGCCCTCACGGCGCACCTGTGGGTCGGCGCGACCAAGATCCAGTCAGGCCACAGATCTCAGGGGTCAAAACCGTGAAAATGGCAATGTGGAAGCTCCGACTCAATGATATGCAAAGGTCAGCAAATACTGCACTTAGCCAAGTCAAAAGGATATGATATAAAGAGCAACTCCTCCGCAAGCTCCTCAAGCAAGTCCTCAACTAATCGATAGGTCAAAGTCAATATTATGGTGGTCTTGTCCTGTCTCCATAGGTTTTCAAGGAGTCAATACTCTAAGACCAATCCATGGTGAGGCATTTAATGCCTCATCTGTTGTGCTTTCTTTATTCCGGCTGCCGGCTGCAACGACACCGGCCTTGTACTGGCCAATGCTGTCTCCTCGGCGTTCAGTGGTCCAGCTGGGCATGTGGCTGGGCATGTTCACAGGGCTGATCATCCGAAGAATCAAGACAAGAACTACAGTCGTTTTCAGAGTAGACCAACAGAGGTTGAAGGACCCGAACTAGCCTATCCCAGTTGGGGTACCCCAGTAAGGTCCCATAAGGTCACTTAACCTCTCTTGGGATGGCACAATCCACAAAAGGTCTTCTTCATTGACCCCATCCAAAAGGTGCTCTTAGTGGGTCTGTAGCATCACCCATTTTGGGTGCTTGATAGACAACCCGGATGATGTATATATATCTTAAATTAGATATACTGTATATATGTTCCATCCAAGCACCCAAACGGTGGTGGTGCTGGTATTTCATATGGTATCCAGTGCTGTTTAAGACCTATTCCAGATCTCCTGCCACTGGTGCTTTGAAGTTTTGGTGCCTATGAACCCCCTGACACTGCCCCTGGTCAAGGCTCGAATGGGATGTTGGTAGGGTGGGATGGAGTAGTTGATGTTGACAAAGGCCTTGGAGTGTTTCAACTCAAAGCGCTCAGCCGTTTCATAGAGCATCCTGCGCGGTGGCTGGTGGATAGGAATGCTGGTGGCTGGGGTCGTTTTTTCGCCGTAGCACCAATTCATCATGTTGACAGGATCTAGCATGGCTCATTGAAACATTCAGGTTCTGAGGGGTGTCTTCGGCATCCACAGCTACTCCACAGGGGACTGTCCAAATTTGGCTTTACCATACGTGCCTAGCTAGAATGGTACAAGCCTCTAACTTCTGACTGGACGTATCTGGCGGTTGTTCAAGGGCCTTGTGATTCCTTGTTATGTCATAACAACTTGTGGCTGGTGAAAAGCGCCTACAACAAAACAACATAACAAAACATCACCCTTGCATCAACCAGCAACAGCTACCACTGAACGGAACAAAGCATGACAACAGTTGCATAGGAAAAAAAACGTGTTGGATTCAACTGGATAACCCATGATAACCCAACCAAACGCTTCAACAGCCAAAAGCCCGCCTTAAAACAAATAGCCAGAACAAGAACTAAAGAACGCAAACAATCACACACATTCGTGTACGAGTTCGAAAAGCTCCTGCACAAGCTGCGATCATAGGGAATCGATAAATCAAGGACGTACTTCCCACCCGGGTTGGTGAAGGAGAAGACCTTGGACTCCTCGGCACGTTTGGTCCAGCAAAACGACTAAAGGACGTGACTAGACCTCCACGTGTCCAAGGAGGAGGGCTGACCTTGGGCTAACATCTCATCGTCTTACACCCATAACATCCTGCAATGAATCACACCCTATGGACATATGGGAGCATGTGGAATTTCGAGGTATACATTGCTTCTGGTCGTCAACTGAAATTGAGATATCTTGGGGTCAGCATAACTACATACACTCCTTGAAACAATCATGAAAGTGGAAGATGTCCTCCTGGGATGACCGGCGATTTCTCTAACTTCACGACGTCCATGTTTCTGCACGCTCCCTTCACGGTGCATCGGACAGAAACTCGGCTGAGACATGCCAGACATCAAACATGGAACTCTGAGACTGAAGGAACGGCTGAGAAACGTCAACAACAAGGACTTGACATGATGAACGGTCATACAGGAAATCAACTTAAGGCTTAAGGCATCTAATAATCTAATAGATCTGCAAATGGACAAATTCATGTTCCTCTAATTTCTGGGTACATCCCCTGAGGCTCCAGGAAAATCATCATGATAATATCCCTGCAAAGGATCAAATGGACTCCCAAAACCACCGGGTTGGTAGTTATTCCGAAAAATGGTCTTCCAGTCTAGTCCATGCCATCAGGTTCCATGTGGATCCCTTCCTTCGATGTCATACGTTACAGCAACCACTCCCTTGACCAGCGCCCCTGACCGGCCCCCTATCTATCGGAGGCACCTGTGCAGCACTACCCTCGAGGCAAATCACCTCATCCCCGGACTTCCCGCCGTGGCAACCTGACGACATCGGAGCCTGTTCGAGTTGGTGATGTCTGGTGCGTACATGACGTGCAACATGAATTTTATTGGTCTGGATGGGATGCGGAAAATCTGCGTTCGATTGTTGAATACATGATGCGATTTGAAGATTGGTTGAACTATGCCAACTGGGGCCATCTGGAGCAGCAAAGCTCCAAGCCCGGGCGGTGTCTGACCTTTTTCTGTGACATGCATGCATTTCAACAGACTAGCAGGGGAATTGCTGTTGGAAACGTACAAGCTAGAGCAATCAGAAAGATCAAAACATTATCTTGCTTGAATCTCCGACCTGAGACAACTGCATGGTGATGCAAAAATGTGCTATAGATTGGATGTGTCTGCGCTTGAGCCCCCCAAAAGGCAACCCAGTTTCGTTACATGTTTTCTTTACTGAACGGGTGGCGAACAACACCGGTGTTTTGGGCGTCCCTGTTTTGCGTTTCTTTTCGGCGCCTTCGATGTCCAAGCGTGAGAGGTGGGACTCTTCTCGACACAAAAGACGCAAGATGCTTCTCCTGTCGTCTTCGGATGAGCCAGGGCTGCTACTGTAGGGCATTTAGCTAGGTCATGAGATAAATGCCTTAGCTGCAAATAAGCTGCAAATAAGCTAAGTTGGGAAAAACTGGAGGTCCATACTAGCTAGCCGGTCAGGTCAGCTGAAGGGTCCCAGTGAGACTCTGCAGACTCCGGAGTCCGTGCTTTCGATCGTATGTCGGAGCCGAGGGACCCGGTGTTCTCCTCTACGGCGGCGTTGACGGCGGGACTACCGAAAGACAGTGCCTCATCTACGTTGAAAGACAGTGCCTCAACTACCAGGACCCTCCGTTTTCGGGGTGCCCTGTCTGGAAGCCTATAGGTAGTGTGGAGTAGTCCATTGGACACACCTTGGAGGGTCCTGATATGTGACTTTCTTTCTGCGGGGTTTTCATACCTTATATTTAGATCTGAGATGATCTGAGTGCAGGGCATTGAGCTACTTGCAGCCTCTGGGCCCAGGTGAGGGCTGGTCATTGCTGACCGACATCTGCCCCATTCCGACTTACCTGGGTATTTTAGACCCCCTGTACACTGTAGGCACCGGCCCTCCAAGAATTGCAAGAACTCTAGATAGTACCCTAAGAATTGTTAGGCTCTCCATGGCAGGGGTCGGACCCTCCATAGCAGGGGTCCGGGCCCTCAAAACCCTATCTGTTTGAGGGCCCGGATTCTTAGGGCAGTTAGAAATGAGAATCCCCCAGTTGCGATTTGCCTTGTCTTGGCACGTCTTGGTGGTGGGTCTTGTGACCAAGTTCATTCCTACACGGATACGAGTTTTGGCCCCCATGAAGTCTCCACTCAGGAGGTTGATTACAGGTGGCATGTTGCGGCGGCAGAGTCTGTTGAAGTATCTTATGAAGGCTTTCTCCTGTGAGTCTCAGTCTCCCTCACCCCGGTCCACCAGGGCCCCAGGCAGTCCCATGATACCTAAAGGGTTGTTCCGCAGGTAGAGCCGCTTCAGCGTCGGATGACCTTCGAGCGAGTCCTGGCGCCAAAGCCGGAAAAAAAGAGAGCACGGCCCCGGCACAGGGATTGGAACCCAAAACGCCTGCGCATTCAAAAGAACCCAAAGCTTGAATCGTGAGTTTGCAAACAAACACTATGTATATTATACATGTTATTATAATATATTATTGTACCCACAGGCTCCAATGTAGTCATCAGGTGCCTACATTTGACTCCGTGGCAAATAATTCCAACATTGACCTTATAAGTAGCTCCGTGGTCATTTTTTAACTACATTCATAGATCAGGAGTTCGAGACACTCCTAGTTCAAGTTTCGAGACATGATCCCTCCCGTCAACCCAGCACAAACTGAACTCTTTTTTCTCTATCTTTGGCGTTGCATGTAGAAGCGGAGTCGCATCATCCACCTCATCAGAACCCGAAGCTCCAGCATGGAGCGGTGGCTCTTCGCCAGCCCCTTCATTGTGCCAATGGCATCCTCGTCCACATAGGTGTGGTAGGAACGGCAGTTTGTAAGATCTGAGGCCATGCACGCGTTGATCTCAATGAACGCCTGGGAATACAGTAGTGTTCACAGTACATGGAGATGTTGCAGGGAAATGGGAAAATACATGAAAATGTCTTTAGTTGCTACTGAGGCTCGTGGTGCTTTGGTTTGATCGGATACTGTAGGATACCCCTCGAAGCACATCTCTGTGACAAGGTGCGGTACACATCCAAGAACCTGCAGAGTTCGAACGATATCGATGGCTCAAGTGACGAAGCCCAGAAATTACATCCTGGGGTTCAAAAGAGATAAAACCTAAAACGTACATCAACTGTTGACCAAAAATGCAACTGTTGATTTATGGCAAGGGGCTCCCAAGAAACACGTTGAATGTTGTCCGCTTGCACCTGACTCAAATACCTGGGACATTGTTCTACCAACAGAAGCCACTCTGCCAGCTTTGCAAATGCCGCCGCTGCTAAAGCCAGTTGACCTGGACGCTGATCGCTTGTAAATCGGCTGCAAAGGTCTTGCAAACAGACGTTGAGAAACGCCGTGATGATACGGCTAGCCCATGCCTTTAGCCTCAACTCTGGAAAGTCCCCTGCTGGTACAATTATCAACGCTGTAGGTATGTACGGTTGGTACATCCTGATCAGGGGTGCTGTTCTTTCAACAAGTGTTTAACTCCCACCAGATGATTTACATCAACCCTTGGCTCAATCGTTAAATCTTCCAAAAAGCAGGGTATGTATATCCAGTCCTTATGCGATTGATGGAGCACCACTTGTTCAACCGCTTGTTGAACTCATGCAAGTGCGATTGCAAAGGGCCCTCACCCAAGTAGCCGTGCTCAATGAGCTCATAGATTCCACTTGCATTCATCCACTGGCATACACCAAGATGTACTGTGTGCATGGCGCACAGTCTGATCATGTTTGGACGAAACCCAACGGTCAGGGCCAGTGGGCAAACTTCTGCCACACATGTGGTGAAGAACTGGGCTGTGGTAAAGCGGGGAATCTGGTCAAAGTTTCTGAGTTTGGTGTACCTGACTCAATGTGAGCTTTGTGTCCTAGAAGCAAAGTAAGTCACTAGATCGGGTCAAAGAGTTGAACACATGTCCCAGAAAAAATCTAAATCAAACAAGGTGCTGGTTTGGGCCAGGCAATTTACTGGCTTTGCACTTGTGGCAGATTGCATTGCAAAGGTAATACCTGCGAAGTCGCCAAAGTTCCACATGCCATTTCCTGGGACCAGAGGTTGAAGGGCTTCAGTATTTTTTATCTTTAAACCGATGAAACAAACTTGGACCTTTAATGATCATTTGTTGCCAGATGTTGCCAGCAATCAGCCCAAGTTTCCAATCTCCGCGGTGCTCTGTGCATGCCCACTTGTCAGACATTGGTGTACCAGCACGTCGCAAAGACTTGTCGTCTGTCAGCCTTTTGCCATCCACATCACACGAAGGCCAAACCCCTGCAAAGCTTACCTCAAGTGTCGCCACTATCGAGGTCGAGACTACTGGGCTGGTGATGGCTGGGATATCTTCCCCGCGGGGGCCCTGTGAAAGCTGAACCGAGTCACATTCAAGCTCCAAGCAACCACCCGCATGATCGGGTACAAACTTCTGGAACCCAAACTGACTTCATGTCGAAGAATGAAGAACGGGAAGCGAGCCAGCTCCAAGCCTTTCATAGCTACAGTGTCTACAGGGGGAACAGGAACCTGGAATCATTCAAGTATTGTCTTCAACAATTTGAAACTTGTGTTGAAAGAACATGTTTAGGGCAAGAAACGTTGTACATCCTGGAGGACTGACGACAACATCATGATGATAATTTTCCTTCCCGCCAGGGTATATCGAGCGTCATCACCTGCAAGTCCTACCGGGCGATGCCATCGAGCATGGGGATTTCGTTCATGTTCGTCAATTGCTGGATGCGAGCCAGTGTAGGATTTGAAGTGGGACCAAAAGCGCTCCCTCTCAGCCTCCACCACGGTGATTTTGTCCTGATCCTTGCGTCAAGTATGGAAGACCCTGGAGTGTTTCTTTCAAACCTTCAAGTTTGTTTTGAGGGAAGATGGTGATATACCATACGAGGCTCCGTCAAGTAGTGAAGGAGCTCATGAGGCATCAACATTGGTACTTTCATCTTCGTTGTTTTATGCTTTGGATCCGTCATGTCTTTCACGTCGATCTCAACAAAGTGGATGTCCTTATCTTGCAAGTGGGTGAAAAGGTGCCCCCAAGCTTCGTTTTAAAGCAAAGCAGAAAAATATTCAAAAGGTACTGTCACGTTCAGCAAGAGTCCAAAGGTAACTCAAGAACTCTGAACAAATCTCTCTCGCAGTTTTGCGGGTGCTTCCCAGCACACCCTATACCCGCCAGTCGTTTTGTCAGAGCGCTGACATGCCCTTTGGACTCCTTGGCTGACTGGTGAATTGAAGATCACTTGAATTAATGAGGGGAAAAGGTTTGATGACAATTATAACTATTGATCTACCAACCCCACTAGTTTGGGAGAACGACTGTGTGGTCGAGATTCTTTCACTGCAGCCGCTGCTGCCTTTTGTAAATCTGCACAGCTGGAAGCCTGGGCAAGGGATGGATCACTGGGGATGGATCCATGGTGCACAGGTACCTGTTGGTCCATTGCAAGCTTGAGAACAAAACACCAATATTTTTCAACAAGGAACACCCCGCCCCAGCGTCGATATCAGGTGCTCAGCAAGAGCAATGCCTGCGATGGGCAGACAGGTCCGGGATACGTGGATTGGTGGGATGGAGGTGTACATAGCTAGTACATCAGATCCAAAGTTTGTCGATGCTTTGCATGGGAACCTCGGTTTCTTTTCTCTAAACGCTTTGATGTCCCACTCCCGGCCATCTGAGCCAGCCACCAGAATCATGACAGAAACTCACTAGAATTATTTCTACATTGCAGGTCGGTTGAAACTGAGACACTTGCTTTCCAATGGCCTCCCGGCTGACCAGGTTCCACAACCTAAGCCCATGTGTGAGCATGTTGTGCTCCCCAAAAAGCTCGGCCATCAGGGCCATGGAGGCTGCTATGCCTTTGCCTTGGCCTTGGCCTTAGATTGCTTGGGCTTGCCTTGGCTCTCCAAACTTTTCACTGTTTTGGAAGCCACCTTATAATCGGCAATTGCCTTGGCAAGGAAATTTGTTTGCTCACGGAACTCCTGGTCATTTGCATCACGTGCCACGCAAGCCTGGCAATGAGTTCGAAGAAAGTCGACTTACACGATAGTGCAACATCAAAACTAATGTACGATTGTTGATTCTGAAAATCGAAAAGCCTCCAAATCCATTCGACCTTTCTTCATTGCTTGTAGGTTTGTTGAAAGGCCAGCGACAGCAGCGTTCCGAATTGCTTCCGGCCTGATGGTGACGTTGTTGATCTACAATTTAGAGAGTTGTGGTAACTATTCGATTTCTAAGAGCTAGGCACAGACGTGTTTCCAAGCTTCGATGACCAGCCTTACATGTCGAGGTTGGAATTGTTTAGTTGCGTGACCCAGGCACTCCAGCCAAGAAGCCCTCACATTCGAGAATCATGCTGCTTGCTGTGCCAGAGCCTAAGCGGAGGCTGGAAGCTGGAGGCTAGCCAAAGGCGAAGATCAAGAATGGCCCCCAACTCTTCAAAACAAATAATTAGTCGAAGCACTGTTTTGGCTTCTTGCAATGGAGTCTTCGGCTTTGGAGGATTCTTTGGTTTTGGGTTCCGGGGGGGGGGGGGGGGGGGGGGGAGGATTGCTTTGAGGATGGCCAGAACCACTGGCACTGGCACTCTCCAGCATCATCGAAGGATCTATCGAAACCTGGATTTGACCTTAGTTTGATGTTTCCCACCATGTGTTTTTTGCACGAACATGTTCAACCCAAAGTATCTCTTTTGAGCCCCCCACATCAATGCAGCAGCTTCACTCGCAGAGACTTCACCCTCTTTTGATACATTCACACTCCGGCTTTGATCATTTTTGTGAATAATGGCCGACGAGTCCCAACATCGATACAACTTCATAGTCGGCACATCAGGGTTGAATTCCCATTCGGAAATTTCTTCCTGAAGAAGTCGACTCAAACAATGGATACCTGGTCGATGAACTTGAAAGTCATGCGTGTTAAATGAAACTTAAATTAAAGTATCCTTGCTGCGCACGATCTCATTCACGATGCTTTCATTGTTGTGGTATTTGATCATCAAATCCTTGGCCAAAGTTAAGTAGGCGCGTATATATAACACGTACGTATAACCAACGTTCATGTACAGAAAGTGCTAACAAAACTCCTCCCGGCTCATCAGCTTGTATGTGCCCCGAATCTGTCGTCCATCCCGGTGCTGAGTGTTCACAACGATGGAGCTATTTCCCCAGTCCTCCCCAGACTGCACAAACTCCTCAAAGAGTTGCTGCCTCTCCTTGCGGACTGCCGGATCCTTCACACCTGGTGAACACAGACACGATGGAGGGATAGCTCAGGTGAAAAAATGTAAAGGTGTGGTGCATT